CTTCCCTTCCCTTCCCTTCCCTTCCCTTCCCTTCCCTCCTTCCCAACCATAACTAGGACTAGTCAAAAATTCCAAGTCTCTGCCAAATTCCTTTTTGTTCCCAAACTCATTCTGGTCAGGCAGGTATGAATCTGGGCAGGTACATTTATAGCTGTTGAATGCAGGGCGTGCGCAAACACGGGAAGTGTGGTGTGCACATAGAAAAGAACCATACATGGTATCAATTGAGGAATGCCATGTGAGGGATGCCCAGTAATTTCCAGGAACTCCGGTGCCTGCAGGCTAGGGGGCAAAGAAGAAATTCTCAGATTGTGAAGATGGGATCTATCAACTGCACCAGTGAGGAATTGGTGGTTACTGGCCCCGACTTGCTTAGCCAGTGGCAAAGCCTGCTGGGAGTTGTAGTTCCCAGCATTTACAGGGCCACACATTTCCACCCTCACCTTTAACCTACGTGATGTGTAGATCTCATTTCAGAGCAATGGGATGTGCACACTAAGCCACCATAGCTTGTTTGGCAACAACCACTATAGCTTGTTTGGCAAACCATGGTTAAAACCGGTCATGTTTCAGCAAGGTGAATAAAACCATGGTGTAACTGAGTTGCTCTCCAAAAAGGGGGGGGAGGTCTCTTCTCCAAATTGCCACATGCTCCCAGCTATCACACCGAAGCTATGCAAAATCCAGCAATCAAATGTGGATGAGGGGTTAAGCTAGGTGGAGACTAACCTTGAGTTCCTTCCTTCCTTCCCTCCCTCCCTCCCTTTTTTCTTTCCTTCCTTCCTTCCTTCCTTCCTTCCTTCCTTCCTTCCCTCCCTCCCTCCCTCCCTCCCTCTTCTTGAAAATCCAGCTTGTTTGGCTGACTTAGGGATTCCCTAAAGGGGTGAAGTGGATTGTGTGAACAGATCCTCATTTTCCTTCCCCCCTTTTTTCCCAAGGTACCTTTCTGTTGCCCAGAGACTGATCTGACCCTTTCGGAATCATTAGCCTGGATCTCCTTTGCTTCTCCACCTCCCTAACATTTTCTGCTTCCCCATAATTAACAGCCACCCCCATCGCCAGGTTTGTGCGCATCCCCTGGTAAAAACTACTTTTCTCTCCCAGCTAAATTACTCTGCGACCAATGATGTTATTTTCCCAGCCTTTCCCCCCTCCCCTAAAAAAAAAAAATGGTATCCCTGGTCTTTGGCTGGGGGAGGTGGGTGGGAAAAGCCTCCCGGCTCTTCCTGGGGGGAGACCCGTGGCGGGCGCGTCGACGGTGTGGCTCCGTGGATTTCTGCTCCGTTTTTCCCTTGTCATCCCTGGCTCCACGTCCCCCAAAGGGTTAACCCACAACGCCTCGCTCGCCTCCACACCGTGGGGCTGGATCTGGGGGCTGGCCAGGCTGGGGGTGATGGGCAAGGAGGGCCGGGTACCGGCTGAAGGGGGATGGGGGGGGAAGGAAGAGAAAGGAGGCTTCACCTGCCCCACGTCAGCCTGAGCCAGAAGCAAAAACAGGCGTTGCGAGCAGAGCGAGTGAGTACTGTACACCCAAAGGCGGGGTGGGTGCCCGGCCTGTCCCCACCGCCCCTCCCCACACACTAGGCATCACTGCCCTCTCCCAGAGCACTTCCTTTCTTGGGAAAGGGGGCTACTCTGTGATCTCGGCGGGGGTGGGGGGGGCGAGGGCAGCATCTGAGTAGGGACCCCAGGCGGGATTGTGGCGACGAGGCGAGGGTGAAACAGCATTAAATGTGCAGCCGGGCGAGAGCGAGACATTACTCACAACCAGATCCTCTGGGGTTTTTCGGTTTCCCCCCCCCAGGTAAGCGTGTGGCTGCTTTGTTGTTGTCGGTTTTTTTCCTCCGTGGGGGGGGGGAGAAGTGCAAGGAGGCAGGGGAGAAGTGCACACCCAGGAAGAGTGACTGCGCAAGGGGGTTGCACGCCGGGTTGGCTTTGGGGGTTGGAAAGCAAGGGTGTGGGTGATCTGAAGCAGCTGGTGTGTGTGTGTGTGTAAAACAGGATAGGATAGCACACCTGAGTGTGTGTGTGTGTGTGTATGCATGCAGGTATGGGTAGGATGGGAAAAACACCAGCGGGTGTGAAAAAGAATGAGGTACACGCCAGTCCGAGAGCACATGGCGCATCGGTTCTTTGTCAAACAGAGATTGTGGGGTACACAACCAGGAGGGGGGCAAGCGCAGGTGGGGGCAAGTGGGTCAGGGACAAAAGCCGGAGCAGGTGCGCGTGTCCGTAAGTAAATACTTGCTTTTTGAAAAGTCGGGCAGCCCCAGAGGAGAAAAACAGGGTAAGGGGGTCTGTGGGTTTGAAATCAAAAACTTCGCCTGGGTGTTCACACGCGCAAAGGTAGTGCAAGCTTGTGGGTGTTCGGAAAGAGAGGGGAAAAGTGCAACACACACGGGCTGTGTTTGCCCAACCGAGCACGTATGTTGTGTGAAGTGGTCTATCGTGTTGCTTGGTTTGAGTGTGGCACACTTACTTTTAATTTGGTTCGATTGGGACCCGGCCTTTCAGGCAGGAGCCCCATCCTGTGAGTTAGGCTGAGCTGAGAGGGCACGACTGGTCCAGAAGGAGCTTGAATTGCGTTTCCCCACTCCTAATCCACACGTCACCCTCATATCACACCAGCTTTCCAAGGTAATTCACCTTATCTATACCAATATCTACACTTATCTATATTAAAAACCCATTTTGCAAATTTCCCCTGCAACGACAACCCTGCAAGGTAGGCCAAACTCATCCTGGGAGCTTCCGTGGCTGAGAGGGAATTAGAACTGGCTCCCCCCAATGCCGGTCCAGCCCCTTCACCACGAGACCACAACACGATCCGGATGGCGTGTTTGTGGGAGAGGAATCGGTGTGCACGAGTGTGCGCAGGACTGAAGACGAAAAAAGCCTCCGTGCAGAATTTATACGTGTGTAATCTGGTTGTGGGTAGCCAGAATGGCACAGGGCACAAGATGGGAGCAAGTGAGCGGTCTTGTACGCCCCCTGTTTGTAGATTGGTGCCAGTGATGGTGATCCAAATTAGGGTCCGTGAGCAGGAATGCTGTCTGAACGGAAAAGACCAACACGGGCCTAATGATCCCAAAGCTCTAGAGCAGGGTTTCTCAACCTTGGCAACTTGAAGACGTTTGGACTTCAACTCCCAGAATTCCCCAGCCAGCCATGACCCTCTACAAGGTCCATGAGAATGCCAATCTTGAATGCCGCCCAACTGAGCAAGCTTTCGGGTTGCACAGAACGCTTCTTCAGCCAAGAAACCCTGGCAGGTTTACAAGTCGATGCCCCTCTTTCCGGAGCATCCTTTGTCCCTTCTAAACAGAACTTTCCTTCTGGCTGAAGCGTTCTGTCGGAGTCAGAAGCTGGCTGAACTGAAGCGGGTTTTGAGGGCGGGGAGCCAGCTTTTTCACTTGGGGCCTGCCAGGCCTTCTCCCCCAGCTCTCGGAGAGAAGCCCCTGCTGAATTGCTGCCTGCTTAATCCAGGCCCAACCCCGAGCTTAAGATATCCTCCTCTCCAGAGGGAGAACTAGAGATGCCTTTTATCCACTCGTCCAGAGCCAAAGTATCGGAGCTCTGTGATGGCATTTAATTGAATCCTCTTCAGTTGATTGGAGGCTGTCTCCGTTTGGGGGCCTGGCGATGCTCCCACCATACCACAAAATCCTCCCTGCTCGCCACTCTGCTGGCAAAGGCGGTCAGCTTCCGCATCAACCACAAAGCTGCTCCTGAGCATCGCTGGGGAAAAAACCCACCCTTTGCTTTACGCCCGGATTCCGAACCAGCACGAACTTGGAGGTTAGTGGATGGGGAGGGGGGATATATTAGGGGAAAATGCGGCGGGCTAGATCCAAGATCTCTTCTTCTGAACATTTGTGCCCCCTCCAATGGGCTTTTCTCCCCGTCTCCAAACACTGAAAGTGGTCCTTGGCGTTTCGAACTCGGGGCCACGCTCATTCTGGCTTCTCCTCCCAGCCCGGTCCTCGAGGGGGCTGCAAATGTGGGGTAAAACAGACCTTAGATGTGAGCCCTGGGAAAGTCAGCCCCACGGGTTGCTTTGCTGTAAACGGCAAGCAGAAAGTCACATTTTGCAAACCAGGTTGCTTCAAGAGTTACTTCTTGCTTTTTTTTTTAAATGCACCAATAAGGAAGTTTGCATCAACGTGTGTGTGCGCACGGCGGTTATACAGCAGAAGATTTTGCTCTTTTAACATTCCCGGGCTGGGTTGATGCCACACCAAGGCCCTTTGCGCGTTCAAGCCCGTGATGCTTGTTTTGATGCTCTGAAAATTAAATTGCACGTCTAAGGATCACTGAGTCATAAGATTTTGTGGTGAGAAATAAGAGCCTTAAGAGTTTCGCAAGGGGGGGGCTGTAAAATTCTGATTTTTCTAACGCTCCGCCATTTACTAATTCTGGTCTCTCTCCTTTTTGCGCGGAGATTTCTCAGCCCAAATGTAGTTGCAAAACTACAATTACCGCAATGGCCGTTTGTAAACGACATCACACAGCAAAAAGTTAAATTAGGTGGTTTATCCTATATCTTCACCATGAAGGCTTCCTTTTATCTTTGCGTTATCGTCATGTTTTACCCTAAGAGAACACAAACTGACATAACAAAGAAAGGAAACTTTGTGTCCCTTTCCGGATGAAAAATCCACAATCCGTTTGAAAGGATCTAACGTTTTTCCACGTTTATTTTGCCTTTCTGCAACGTTGGAACCGCGCGTAGGTCACCTTTTAGAAGTTTAATTTTTCAGTGGGACTTCTCCGTAGACTTGGCACAAGGAGAACGGAGGATACAGAACAAGTCTGGACGTGTATCTTGAATGTTACACCTTAGGTTTCTTTTTTTAATTCATGAAATCAGGCCTGATTTGGAAATCCCTTTAGGCGCAGGACTGTGAATAATGACCCATTTGCCCTCTCTTAGGTTGATGGTGAGGACGCTGACCTGGAGCAAGCGAGTCCCCAGGACTAAATTGTTGGATGAATAGGGGTGCAAGAATTGAGTGGGAAGTTTGCAAAATTTCACTTGAGCCCCTCCTGGACCTTCTGCGGAGTGGGGCCTGCAACATCTGGTTTTCAGACCAAGGCTAGATAGTTGGTGGAGTCCTGCAGTGGACGGGGGTGGGCTTGATGACCTCTTAGGTCCCTCCCAATGCTATGATTTTAAGATGATGGGGATTATTGGGGGGATCCCTACTTTTCTGATTGTCCGTGGGGGTAACTGGTACAAAGAGTTTGGGGTCTGTAGCTGGAAAGGGATATTTTTTCAGGCTCCAAGGGGTTGGTCAGGGGGCGTCCTCGAAACAGAGGAAGCTGGCCTTGTCTTCAAAGCCCAGGGGCTCAGCCATCGTCCTCTTGAAAGGAAAAGGGCAGCGATGGATAAACGCTGTTCCATGACAAAACCGCCTGGGGTCACGAGAGGCGGAAAGGTTTCGGCCTGGAAGGCGCTCCGAAAGAGCTTGCGTTGAGAGGACCAGAGGCATCTTTTTGAGTTTTAGAGATAGAGTGCCCCTGAACGTGGGAGCTCCGTGCAGCCTGCGGATTAGATCCGTCGTCCTCCAGGCCGTGGCCTGGCTTTCTCCAGAGGTCAGCCTCTTGGCCTGCTGTCCGAACGCAGTCCTGCCCGGCGCGCTCACCCCGTCTTCTCTCCCCATCCTCTGGCAGTGAGTTATCCGCCAGCCGTTGACCCTCATGGCTCTCTGCCCATAGTCTGTTACGTGTCCAAGGAATCCATCTTGAGCCGGCGGCCAGCGAGACCCAGTGCGGTGATGCGCCGGACGACCGTTTTGGCCCTCGTCTCCATCGTCCTGGTCTACCTGGTGATGGGCGCCTTCATCTTCCGCCTGCTGGAGCAGCCCCATGAAGTCAGCCAGCAGGTGAAGATCCAGGCATACCTGGAGCAGTTCCTGAAGCTGCACGAGTGCGTGGCGGCCGAGGAGCTGGAGGAGCTGATCCAGGTGAGAGGAGGGCGAGCGGGCTGGGCGGGGACGGGCCAAGCCATCGCCTAGCGCATGCATCTCAGCCTCTGCCCCTTTCCGACACGAGGACATCAACTCCCAGAATCCCCCGGCGTCTAGATCAGGATTTTTCAGCCTCCACCCCTTTCAGATGCACGGATGTCAACTCCCAGAATCCCCTGGCGTCTAGATCAGGGTTTCTCAGCCTCCGCCCCTTTCCGACACGTGGACGTCAACTCCCAGAATCCCCTGGCGTCTAGATCAGGGTTCCTCAGCCTCAGCCCCTTTCAGATGTGTGGATGTCAACTCCCAGGGTCATTTTGGGAGTTGAAGTCCACCCATCCGAAACCAGCTGAAGTTGAGAAACCCTGATTTAGAGAACCGTGGGAACGCAGCCTAGAGTTGGGGTTCTTCTCTTCATAGGTCAATTTCTCAGTCAATCATCAGCAAGACCCGCCACTTGGATTTTATGCTCCTCCCGCTGACCTTGGCTGAGCTCAAAACAAAGTCCAACCTCATTAATACTTGGATGGGAGACCACCTGGAAGTCCACCAGCTGTTGGCTGAACTAGGAAGTTGGGAAAAAAAAACATGGTGGGAAAAAAGCAAACAACTTGTGTAGCAGTGCATGGAAATGTCCATAATTCTTCTTTCTGTCCTTCCTCCTAGCAAGTAAGCGAGGCTACAGGAGCTGGCGTGGATCCGGCAGTCAACTCTAGCAATGCCAACGCCTCTCACTGGGATATGGGCAGTGCGTTCTTCTTCGCCGGCACCGTTATCACCACTATTGGTATCTAGGGGTTGATTGGAAAGTTGGGCTTATCCCACAAGCACACGGAGCGGGTAGTTGATGAATTGGTGGCCTCCGTTTCACCATCTGTGTAATGGGCGCAGGAACGGGCTGATCCTGGAGCCCCTCCAAAGACGATTGGAGTGAGCCGTGGTTTGGGTGGGTCTTTTTCTCTGGGGGTGGGGGTGGGACGGCTTTCTGCACCCCCTTTGCAAAGCTTTGTTTCAAGCCCGGTCTCGCTGCGGCTGGGTTCGCCCCGGTTGAACCGGAGTAGGTAAAAACCAGCCGTTCCATTCGCGCCACCAGAAAGGTGCGATTTGGGTTCATCTCGGCTAGTCTAGCTGTTTATAGCTTAGCAGGCCGGCTTGGGGCCTGATTCAGTCTGTTGTGCCAACTCCAAAAAGGAGGCGAACCCAGGAACTGAAATGAAAAAGCCCCTTTTTAAGTGGGCCAAGGGGGCCTCTCCCTTACCCCCTCCCCAAATAAAGGCAAATAAATTCCCTGTTAGAGTTCCCCAACCGTCCACAGGGGCAAGGGTTTGGCTTCCCAACTGCAATAATGCTTCGTTGCGGTTGAGGTCCAGACATGGCTTGAGGTAGACTGCCTTAGAACCTGGAGGCTCCATCCCACCTTCGCGCTCTTTCTGACATCTCTGCTCTGTCTGCCTGGCCCAACAGGGTTTGGGAACATCTCTCCCAAGACCAAATACGGCCAGGTCTTCTGCATCTTCTACGCCCTGGTGGGAATTCCTCTCTTTGGGATGTTACTTGCTGGAGTTGGAGACCATCTAGGATCGTCCCTCCGGAAGGGCATTGGAAAAGTGGAAGATATTTTCTTGGTGAGTTCCGTTAATCTTTATCCTCCAGTCCAGGAACGATCCATTCTCAACAGCGACTCCTTGGAAGCGCGACACCTCGGAGAAAAGTTGGGCTACCATTTCCATAATCCCCAGCCATCACTCTCTCCCCTGTGTCTGTGGCTTAGGGGTGCTGCAAAGCCGCTGCCTGGAAGGAGACGGCTTTATGCCAAATGCCGTTTACTTGGCCTGCATGGAGAGAATTTTATTTCTGTTCCTTAGGAGTTGACACCACTCAGCGATGACTTCCTACAAACTGCCGGTCGGAAGCAGGAAGTGGGTTTAGACGGACCGTTTGGGCAGAAACTGGCTTGGTAGGAATTGCATCTCATCTCCTTTTGGATTCTGTTTTCCTCCATAGAAGTGGCAGGTGAGTGCCACCATCATCCGGGTCATCTCGGCGTTACTTTCCATTCTGATCGGCTGCCTCCTCTTCATCTCTCTGCCCACCCTCATCTTCCAGCACGTCGAAGGTTGGACCTTCCTGGAAAGTGTCTACTTCGTGGTCATCACGCTGACCACGATTGGATTTGGTGACTACGTGGCAGGTGAGGACAGGAGGACGGAACAGACCCGCCTTGCAAAGCGGGCCGCGGAAATTGCAGCATTCTGCCCTGCTTGGGGGCTGGGGGCCGAAAATCGGTGGAACAAACCCAGGATTCCAATAGAGGCGAATATGTGTAACCCAAGATTGCGATGCAAACCCTGTTGATGCCACGATCGGTCCAAACAAACAAATGCATGCTAGATTTCATGTTCTGTAGGCAATGAGAAAGTTTCTGAGTCACATAGGGCACTTCTTCAGGCTGGCAATTCAGAGGCGGCTTACTGGAGATTTAAAAAGACAGAAACGGAGTGTTAGAAATCTACGAACTCTGTTTCCAGGGTTTTCTTTTCCTTATTTGCATTTTCTTCCTTTCCTTCCTGTTTGAAACAAGAATCTTTTTATTATTCATTAATGGCCTGCGTGTCCCACCTTCGCTCAGGCCTTACCTTAACTGAACTGCAAGATAGATTACATGGGGAAGGAGAACTTGGTTTAATGTTCTCCACTGAGTTTTGCAGCTGGTGGGGTTTGCCGGACTTAATAGGAACCTGCTTCCGGCTCGCTCTCTTTTAAACAGCCAGCCTAAAGAAGAGACCTGTGTTACACCTAAGCTTGCATACGTTACTCACAAAATTGGGGGATGAAAAACCGGCAGGCCAGGTAGAACGAGCCCATCTCGCCCATCCCTGTCTGATCGCTTCCAGCCAGAACTGACCTCTCTAGCTAAGTTTTCTGAATTTTCAGCATCGGGGAGGGAGGGAGGGACAAGGTATCGCTTTCCAAATCTCTCCCAGCCTGTCCCGTCAAGCATGGCTGGTAGCAACAGATGCTGGGAATTTAGTTGGGGCCACAGGTTGACCCTTTCTGGCAGGTTGGGAGGAGCAGGGCAAGGGTTGCGAGCCTCCCGCTCCCAGTGCATTCTACCTGCCAGGTGACACGAAAAGCAACGATTATTTCTGGTACCAACCGCTGGTGGTGGTCTGGATCCTCCTGGGACTGGCATACTTCGCTTCCATCTTGACCATGGTTGGCAACTGGTTGCGGGCGCTGTCCAGACGCACGAGAGCCGAGGTGAGCACGCCACGAGCGACGGTTTACTTAAAACCAGTTATTTAAACCTGGGCTTTTTCAGCACGGCTGAATATCTTTTCTAAAAAATATGACTCTCTGACTCCCGATGAGGAGCTCTTCCACACAACCACCCCAAAACTTTCCAGCCCGTTTGAGAGTTTCAAAACTGGCATTTAACGAAGAAGAAAAGAAGTCGATTGGGTTGCATGCAAAATCCTCACCCCCTTCTAGCCAGGAAAATATTACAGCAACAAACTCGGTTAGTGCATGAAGCCGGCTGCTGGATTTGCGTAACCATGACAGTTAGGAGTAAAGTTTGCTCGCAACGTGACCTTTTCTCCAAACAGACCACGATTAAAACCCACCAAGCGTTGCCTATTTCCAAATGCACCTTTTGGATCTTTAATCCTGGTTAAGCTAGGAAGTTAGTATAAAACCAGGCTGATTTTACTTAGTATAAACCAACTGATTTTAGTTCGTATAACCCAACCAGATTTTCCCATCTAGTCGAATTTTTTCTCCTCTAGGGCTGTAGGCAGAAAATCAGCTTGATCACCAGCTCCTTTTTGAAACTGGACATTTCTGGGATCAACCCCAAGATTGCACTCCTAAAACAATAGCTTCAGTGGGATATTAAAACCCATAAAACCTTGAAAACGTTTTAACGGCCACATTAAGCATCTTCATCTTAATCAGGAGAATTGGAAACTCTCCGGATGCTAGTTCGATCTGCAAGTCCCAGAAAAGGTCAATTGCAATCCCTGTTTGCAATTGTTCCGTTGGCCATAAACAGAAAGGAGAAAACCCTCAATGTGTCTAAAATGTATATGAAGTCAATAGTTTTATGAACAGCCAAAACTTCTTCTTCGGGCCAAATTCAGCAAAATCCTTAGCCAACCTTCCCTTTCCTAAAAAAACACAACAACACGGGGAAAGAATAGAAATATAGAGAATCTTCAGTCATTTTTTCTTTTTTGCTTTCGAGCTACCCAAGGATTGATGGTTGGGTGAGAAAACTGGATTATGCTCTAATTGCAGCATTCAGCCCACTTAACGGTCATGACTATTAGTCCTAATCTGCCAGAGATCTTGCAGAAGGAAGAATTAATTTAAACGGCAGCTGGCAATTTGCTGGCTACAGCATTTACACACACACGTGCGCACACACACTTCTCATTGCTGCTGGCTGCAGCCATAAAGACAGAAGAGGGAATCCTCCAGATTTGACACCAGGCTGTTCTGCCGCTCCAAAAAAGCAGATGGTGTTAATTTCGTGCAACGCTCCCTCCTTCATCAGCCCCCATAATTGAAAGCTGTTCCTTTCACGCTGACCCTGAAGGGCGGGTGCAACACGGTCCAATCAACCAGGCAGGAAGGGCTCTCCGAGGGAGCGAGGAACTTAGAAACGCCAGCTCTGGTTTTTTCCAAGCCCCTTTGGGACGGCTTGGACTACAAGCCCCATCCTCCCCGGCTGAGGATCGGGGCGGTGGTGGTGCTGCCCATCTGGAGGGCAGATGTGGGCTACTACGTGGCGTTTTGTAACATCCATATCAAACATATATCCAAGAAGGTCCGAACAAGGGGAAATCATTTGTGCCTTGCTTCCCGTTGTTTGGACTGTGACTATTTACACACGCACACAGACACACCCAAGTTCAAACCAGGCTGTATTTTGCACCTAGTTGGATGTTTCTACCCAGCACAGTAATTAGGAAACCCCCCCATACAATTGCAATAAGGTGATCCTACATGACAAAGCCTCATCAGCTGCAAACCGATAACTGTTGGGTGCAAACTTCGCTTGGCCACAACTGATTCCGATTTGGGGTGGGAGCCCAAGCATTTTTATTTTTATTAATTTTTATTTTTATGATGTGGAAGCCCAGCCCTGAGAATTCTGGGAATTGGAGTCCGCACATCTGGCAGGCGCCCGAGTCAGGCCTCTTTGGCTCCTGACTTTCACGCTTTCTCCACAGATGGGAGACCTGCCGGCTCCCGCCGCCTCCTGGACCGGCAACGTGGCGTCCCAGCTGCGTGTCCCAAGCATGGGGTTTCCGGAGAAGCTTCACCGAGTGGCCACCTTGAAAGGGAAGCCGTTGTCGCCTTCAGCCATCTTGGCCCAAGGGGAAAACCCCCTATCTTCGCCCCCGCCTGGAATCCTGTTGCAACAGCCAGCTCTAACACCAGCTGCAGCGCCGCTCGGCTCGGGTGTCTCCTCGGTGCCCCTGCAAAACGTGGCTCAGCCGAACACCCACCCTGCCATTTCCCTGCGGCCTATAGACTACGCGGGAGAAAATCTGGCTTTCATTGACGAGAGCTCCGACACGCTCAGTGAAGGGGGACCCCCTTCCACCCGGCTTCCCCGCCGATGGCGCCCGCGGGCACGGCACCGGGCTGACCCCAGAGAGCCGATGGGATTGCCCATGATTCTTCTCAGCCGGACCCGGGACAAAGGTGAATCGGTCTAAAGACAAGAGTGGGTCTGGACTTGGCTCGGAGGGATTTTCTGATCCATGGTGCCGATCCATCCATTCTTTTCCCCGCTTCTGGCGGAGTGAAATCTTAAGTGACCGTGTTCTTGTTTGCACGAGGTGCTGAGCAAATGCCCTAACATGTACCCATCCTGTTCGCAGTGATAACACGGCTCCTGGCCGAGGCCGGGATGTGCCCCACGTTCTCAGCGTTCCCTCTCTGTAATGGTAAGTGGGAAAGACCTTGGGAGATGGGGCGAAGAGACGCTGCCAAGAGAATGGTCGGATAAGAGGTGGCTTAGCCCGCAGCTGCATAATGGATGGAGAAAGAGACTCAGAAGGGACCCTCCCTAGTTTCTCGGGCTGTAAAGGAGACGGCAGGAGAATTGTACTTTCAGACTTGCAAGATTGTTGTCAGCCTTCCCAGGTAGACCAGACAGGAAGCACGACCAGATGAGCTAATTCTATTTTATGGTAAAGCTACATTAAAAGAATCTTGCAAGTCTGAAAATACAATTCTCCCCCCATCTCCTTTACAGCCTGAGAAACTAGGAAGGGTCCCTTCTGAGCCTCTTGCCCTACCCATTATCCAGTTGCGGGCTATGCTCCCTCTTATCTGACTGTTCCCTAGGCAGCATCTCTTCGCCTCTTTCCCACATACCACTACACTCTCTGCACAATGGCTACTCTTTCCTGGCCCCATGAGACCCTCCTGCACCCTCAAGGTTGGAGGAAGCCTCATCTCTACCTATGTGCCTGTGATGGCTGTGCGGCCTCTTCCAGACTTCTGGAATTGAACGTCCTGGAAGACTTGTGTTGCTTCCACCCACCCCAGCTCTGAGCACTGGCTCGGTCTTTTCTTGCATGCCCTCCATCAATTCCCCACGCACACAACCCTGTCCTCCGTTGGCTGTCAGGTTCAGGAGTATATCTACCCAACGGGAAAAAAAGTGTGTTTCAATCCTTGGTCCCTCTCAGCCTCTCCCCAAGGAATTCTGGGCCGTGTAGTTCCAAAAAGAAATTGCAGCCAGGAGAAATCAGTCTCTTTACGAAAGGCATTTCTCAGTATTCTTTGGGGAAAAAACAGATCGTTGAATGGCTGTCATTTCGTAGACTTGATATGATTTTGGAACACAAGCGTCCTCTGACGGCGTCGTCTTGGGCAGGACCCATTTGCGATCCAACACGTTCCACCACTGAGCAGAAGAGAAGGGAGTGTTCCTTCCCAGAAAAAATAATACAGCAAAAAGCAGAATTTGAAATCTCATGGAACTGTAGGCATCTGTGCCCCACAGCTGAAGATACTCAACGTTGTTGGATTTCCAGAGTTTGGCTGTAAGCTGCAGGGAGAGATGAACAGGAGGAGAAAAACGCCCTTTTCCTTCCAGTCTTCCATCCTTCTTCACTTCACAAATGTGCCTGTCTTTATCTTGTGTATTTTTTCAGGTGATGATGCTCCAGAAATTAAAACTACTCAAGAGCTGCTCTGGTCTTCGTGTGTATTTGTGCCCAGCCTCGCTTGCTTTGCTCATTAAATCCACGTTGCACGCTGCACACAGCCTCTCCATGCTCTTTTATTTATTTATATACCCAATTGGTTGCCGCCCGTCTCGTTTCAAAAAACGACTCTGGGTTTACAGAGAAGATAACATCAATGAAAGATCACCGTATAAAAGTAGTCCGGAATAAATAATATTTATTTTCCTTTTCCTTCAAACCTCCCCTTTTGTCATCCCCCAGTTGTCTGATTTTGGAGAACGTGGTTGCCTTTTACGTTTTTATCATGTCTTTAACAGATAAAACAATAAATAAAAAAATAAAATAAAATAAAATAAAAAATAAAAAAATCCAGTGTGTCTCAAGGCTGCATGGCTATCAATTTCGAGATGCCGTGACAAGGGAGGCCAGGCCTGTATGTTTCAATTGCATTCTGAAACTGACAGCAGGCATGTTGAAATTGACTAGATCCAATTCAATGAAATGGTCCTGTGAAATTGACTAGAGCAGTATTTCTCAACCTTGGCAGCTTGAAGACCTGTGGACTTTAACTCCCAGAATTCCCCAGCCAGCCATGCTAGCTGGGGAATTCTGGGAGTTGAAGTCCACACATCTTCAAGCTGCCAAGGTTGAGAAACACTGAACTAGAGGCTGCAGGATAAATGAATGGGATTTCTTCAGACCAACCGGTCGTCTTGGGAAGAAGCCCATAATAACCAGCTCTAGATCTGTCTGTTGGCTGAATATTGGTTATGACTGAGAGTTTAGTTGATCTTTACAGCAAAGTGCATCTTTTTCCCCCTTGAAATGCCTCCTCTCTCCATGGGTGCCACATTGCACCCAACTGGCAATTAGGCCCTCTCTGCCCGGAAGAAAAAAAAACATCTTTAAGACCTAGAGGAGGAGAACAGGATGAAACTCTCCTAATTCACCTAGTAAGCGAGTGAGTAGCCCCCCCCACCATGGCTGCCATTTTGTGAGAGCCCCCGCAACACGCTGTCCAAGCTTTCAGCCATTCTGAAAAAGGTTGGTTTTCTCCGGAAGAGAGAATAGCTTCTTGGTTTCTTTCAGTGCTGCTGTTGGTGAAGGAATGTTGTTTTTCCCTTTCTTGAGTCTGCTTTACAAGCAGCCAAGAGGCAAATCTTCTCTTCCTACAGTTTAATTACAAGTAAATGCGCTCAGGTAAGAACCGACAGGTTGCTTTGCTGGATCGAGCCAAATGTGCCTTTGCACCCTCAGCATGGGAGAATGTCACCCTTCCCAGGTAGACCAGACAGGAAACACGACCAGATGGACTAAGTCTACTTTATGGTAAAGCTACATCGACAGAATCTTGCAAGTCTGAAAGTACAATTTCCCCCATCTCCTTTACAGCCCGAGAAACTAGGGAGGGTCCCTTCTGAGTTTCATTCTCCATCCATTATGCAGCTGAGGGCTAAGCCATCTCTTATCTGACCATTCCTTAAGCAGCGTCTCTTTGCTCCGTCTCTCAAGGTCTTTCCTGCATACCGTTACATAGAAGAACATCTGTCATCCCAAATACAGTTCAGGCGCACTTCCTCTAAACTGTTTAGTAAGCTATGTTGGCTGAGGCTGATGGGATCAAGAGTATTTTACCCTTTTCAGACCAACCAGTTTTGTTAAGGGGCACGTGCTTTTGTGAACTACAGCCTGCCTGCCTCTGAAAAAGCAAGCTCATGAAAACCTTCTGATGAAATTTCGAGTGCCCTAAACTAACAGGGTTTCCTCCTGCCACATCTACAAACAGAGGTGGGAAGGGCCAACCAGCTTGGAGCCCTTCCACTGGGTGAAACGAGAGGCCGCTCACAGCATGAGATCCAGAGAAATGCACATTTTAAAAGCAAAGCTTAGGGGCACAGGTGAGTAAACAGGGAATACCAAGGATGTGAAATCTGAAGCGGATGGTGGCATGGAATAACCAAGTTGAGGAATTCCGGATAACTGGAATCGTTGAACGAGGAGTTACCCCTGCCCACAGTATAATTCATCTTGGCTAGTTTCGATGATACTCTGCAGATGTCACTGTTGGAAGTCACCAAGAAGGCCCTGATTCTGCTTCTCTGAGATTTGCTTCTGAGATTTTTCTCTCTCCCCACCCACCAACTCTGGCAAAAAGTTTGCATGGGAGTAAAATTCTTTAAAATTAGAGGCTGGTTCTGTTTAGCTCCTCCAATGTGCACGCTAGAGGTTCAAGCTAGGGACTCTGGTCTTTCTCCGATCACACTAAGATGTGCTTGAGACCATCAAGGCCAGCAGAAGATCCAGCAAATGGGAAGGAAAAAGTAGGAATAATGGGAGGACTGGTCTATCTGGGCATCTGTTGGAAACCAATTCAGCCTCTAATTTCTTCCGGGTCAGATCCTAACCAACAGAGATGGACTGGATGACAAGATAAAATCAAGACCCCTCCCAATCCTGACATTCTATAATCGCTGACGTTTAAGGGGTAAAGATGGGTTCTTGTGTCCTCCATGGAACATCATCTACCTTGTTTTCCTGGCAGTAAGATAGAAGTGGTTCATTGCTTCGTTTTTTTGACCTTCCCATCTTGCCTATCACAGGACAAGATTTCCTGTTGGTCTCCCATCCGAGTGCTAACCCGATCTAGGTGGAGGCTAACTCTCCGTTGGCGTGGTGGGGCGTCTTGAAGGACATCTGATCTTCTGTTTTAGTGACCAACGAAGGCCTAAAGCCAACCCTGTCCAGCTCCCAAGTTGAGAGAGAAGAACGTAACGCCCAAAGGATTTGTAATGGTCCTGCATTCTACTTAAGAGATGTAGTCATGATCTGGGAAGGGAGCCGAAGCCGGAAGGAAGACGGGGATGGAGCAACGTTTCCCAGAACTGCAAAAATTTCACTCTTCCCAAGAGAGGCTCAGTTTTTTTGCAAACTGAGCTGGAGAAGTGAGGGCAAAACCGATGGTAAGTGGTTCCACACCTCCCCGCACTTCCTAAAGAGAATTTGGGAATAATCACTTTGGTGCAAGGGAGGAAATTTTAGGAAGGGCCTTAGACTGTTGGGACGTGGAACGGTTCCATATCTTTGTCATCATGGCCCAAGGGGAACTTTGGCCAAGCAGGCAGGCATTCAGCCGGCGATGTTAAACCCCCTGCTGCTGCTGAGGGTAGGGAAAGTGGCAATGGGTTCTAAAATAGGGATGAAGTGGCAACACCCGGAGGACCTGGATTGATCCCCAAAGCTAAGCAGGATTGGATCTGCTTCTTGGGACTTGGATGGGAGACCACTTGGAGATCCACAGGTCTAGATGAGATTGGGAATCTGGGAAAATATCCGAGAACGGAGCCATGGCAAGCCATTTTCATATTGTTGCTGAGAAAACTTTAATTTTACTGTTTTTATCTTATTATTTCTTATCCCCTCCAACAGCTGATCAACAGATTGGCTCCATATTATTATCCACACCATTATAATCCGTTTCCATCTTTTCTGTATCTGTGGTGTTCAAACACACACCCCTT